CCAAAGTCCTCCAAAGCACCGCAGAGGATGGACCCGCTCCTGCCTGGCTCTGTGAGGCCAGCGATCCCCCAATACCGGAGCCGCACACAGACCCATAACCACCGTGAACACGGGTGCGGCAGTCCTCAACAAAATACCAGCAAACCAATTCAGAAACGCGTGAGAAAATTATACACCACGACCAAGTGGGTCGTACTCCTGGAGCGCAGGAACAGCTCCGCACACACGAATCAACCAGTCACCCCATTAATAGACTGGGGGGGCACATGGCCGTCTCAATGGAGGCAGAAATAGAATCTGCCAGAATTCAACACCCTTTCATGATAAAAACAGCCAACCAACCAGGATTAGAAGGACACTCTGTCATAGTAAAAGTGACATATGACAAGCCCACCCCTGATGTCGTCCCCGGCGGTGAAAGATGAGAGCTTTTCCTGTAAGATGGGGAATAAGACAACGACGCCCACTCTCAACACTCCTATTCAGCAGAGTGCTGGAAATTCAGGCCAGAGCAATCAGGCAAGAAAAAGAAATACAAGGTACCACGGCCTGGATTGGAAAGGATGTCACGGGGCGCCTGGGTGGCTCAGTTGGTTAAGCGACTGCCTTCGGCTCAGGTCATGATCCTGGAGTCCCAGGATCGAGTCCCACATCGGGCTCCCTGCTCGGCGGGGAGTCTGCTTCTCCCTCTGACCCTGCCCCCTCTTGCACTCTCTCTCTCACTCTCTCTCTCTCTCTCAAATAAATAAATAAAATCTTTAAAAAAAAAAAAAAGAAAGGATGTCACAGATGACATGGTCTTAGGTGTAGAAAGCTCTAAACACTGTTTAGAGTGTTTAGAGTTTAGTCTTAGGTTTAGAAAACTCTAAACTCTGTAAGCTTCCTGCAGTCTGAATATGACCTCCCCAAATCCATATGTTGAAGTCCTCACCCCAAGAGGTGATGGGGGCTCTGGGAGGTGACTGGGTCATGAGGGTGGAGCCCACACGGATGGGGTCAGTGCCATCGGGAAAGAGCCCCCGCAGAGCCCCCTGACGCCTTGTCGGTTTTGCAAGAAGTCGGCAGTCTGCACCCCAGGGGAGAGCGTTCTTCACCAGAGCCCTGCCCTTGGTGCCCTACTGGTGGGAATGTAAAATGCTGCCCCTATTGTGGAATTCCCTAGAAAGTTAAGCACAGAATTATGACATGATTCAGCAAGTCCACTCCTGGGTCCATCCCCAAAGAAACTGCAAGCAGGGACTCGGGCAGATACTTGCACTCCCGTGTTAACGGCAGCCAACGGCTGGAAACAACCCCGTGTCCATCAGCAGATGACACGGGAAACAAGATCTGTGTAGTCACACAGTGAGATACCCTTGAGCCTAAGAAAGGGAGGGCATTCTGACACCTGCCGCCACACCTCACAGACATGATGCTGAGCAGATAAGCCAGACCCGAGGGGTAGGCACTGCATGATCCCGCTCCTATGGTCCCCGGGGCCATCAAATCCAGAGACAGAGAGGGGAGGGTGGGCACCAGGGCCCAAGGAGTCTCTAATGGACGGAGTCTCTTTTTGGGGAAAGATTAAAGGTGATCTGGACGGACGGCGGTGAAGGTTGCAAACCACCCCCCCGCCCCCCGCAGAGCTATCACTCTCTCCGTCCCTCCAAAGCTCCTCTTGTGGCCCCAGATGGCCCTGTGTATTGTGAGCTCCATGCGGCAGGACCTTCATTCTCCTTGTCCAAGTTGCATTCCCAGGGCCCAGGGCAGCCCCACCCTGGGGCTCAGAATTTGCTAGAAGGAAGGAAGGAGGCAGGGACAGAGGACAAGGGCAAGGAAAAGGATCTGTGTGAAGAGCAGAAAAAAGTAGAAGAGGCTGGGGGGACTCGTGGTCTCCACCTGGGGCACGGGGTGTCCTGTGGGAGGCTCTCTACATGCTTACAGCCTGGGGGGCAGGGTGGGAGGAATGGGCATGGCCCTTCTCACAGTGGGGGTGGCTCCAGGGCCCAGCCCCCAACACAGCCTCACGCACCACCACCCCAGGGTGACTTGCCCCCTCCAGCGGGGTGGTCAAGGACCCCTCTCTGCATCCCAAATGCCTGGCATGGGGCGGAGGTGCTCAGGAATGTCTGTCGATGGACAAGCTGGGGGCCTCAGGGGCCATGATGTCCCAGAGCATCCTCCACCTGTTTCTTCTGGACCTAGCTGGTCCCCTGAGTCACGCTGGAAACACCCTGAGTGGGTTAGGGGCAGGAATGAGGCCCTGCCTTCCCAAAGCCAGGAGAAAGTGGCCTGTCACCCACATGTCACCTGGGATGCTTCCTTGCCTTGGCCACCCTCCCCACCGGGGTCAATCGGCCTGCACTGTCTGGCTAGCCTGGCAGTCACACCACTGGGCCCCTTGGCCATGGGGAGTGCAAGCCCCGGGGCATAGGCCAGGGCTGCCAGGTTCAGCTGTCTGGGGGGCAGAAGGCAGCAGGTGTGAAAGGCACCATCCCAGTGATAGTCCGGGGTGCGCTCTGAGCAGACCCAGAGCCAGCCATGCCTGTGCCCCCCCAGGGCCACGCCCCAATCCTCCTGCACCCTCCACAGTGCCTGAGGTGAATCCGGGCAGACTGGCCACGCTCAATAAAGGCCTGAGTCCTGGTGCATCCTGGGAGCCTCGTCCTCGTGTCTGCGCGTCCACGCTGCTGGGATGCAGGGATGCAGGGAGGGGTGAGCTCAGAAGGGGCCCCGGGGTTGCTGAAGACCCCTGCGCACCCAGCAAGCCCTTGAGGGGTGGGGGCAGTCCGCCTCTGGGCTCTGCGGGGCCCCTGGGTCTGTGGGCTGAGCGAGGACAGGGGTGGACCCAGGGCGGGACAGGCTCCTGGCACAGTCCCTGGCGGAGCCCTCCCGAGCTCCAGGAGGCCGCTCCTTCCCGGCAGCCCGCTCTCCTTCCTTCCCTTTATCTCTGTCCTCAGCTCTGTCAAGTGTGAAGCGGTAAACTGGCTGAGCAAACAGGCTCCTGAGCCGCATCCGGGATGTCTCAATAGCTGTGCCCCTGAGGGCCCTCCACCCGTCTCTGCCCAGAGGACAGTGCTCACGGGGAGGGGCCGCGGCAGGCACTGGGCCACGCCAGGTCCCTTGGCTGCCTACTGTGTGCAAGCTGTGGACTGTGGGCAAGGCCCCTGCCTGCATGAAGCTCTCCTTCCGAGGTGGGGGCGGGGAGGGATAGACGGCCAACTCGAAGCCCCGAATAATTTACATTCAGGTCCCGAGTCCAAGGCTCACATGTGCAGGGGTTGGGAGGCGACTGGTGGGGCCCTTTGAAGGCTGGGGGGTGCTCGCTGAGTCAGGGGGCCGAGGGATGGGCCAGCGGGGCAGGTGCCTGGGCGTGGCCGGGCGCCCAGTGGGGCATGGACCAAGAACCGGAGCCCTCAGGGAAGTGGGGGCCAGGCCCCGAGGGCTCAGGCTGAGGGAGGCCTGGAGGTTCACAGGGCCGCGGATGCAAGTGGGCAGCATGCCAGGCCCGTCTGCGGGAGCTCTGACGCCAGGGAGCAGGGGCCGGCTCCCGGGCGGGGGCACCCTGCTCTAAAGACGCCAGGAGCCAGCAGACCCTGCACGGCCTGAGGGCCCGTCAGCCAAGCAGAGGTGTGACCGCCCAGCGAAACGCTTCGTGGAAGCTTTGGAGATGGTTTTCCCGTTGCCCCAGCAATTCCACTTCCGTGAATCAATCCTCGAAAGACAAAGGCAGGGGGATCCCAGGTGTGTGCGCCCACAATGGCGAAGCTGCCCGAGGGGGTCCCGCGCCTCCCAGCCGGGGTCCGCCCCAGGGGTCACTCTCAGACACACGCAGCCTGGGGTGAGGGTGCCCAGCATTCTTGCCAGAGCCAGAGAATAAGACACCTGGAGTGTGAATCAGAAGGGGGCAGCTGGTGAGGCCGAGCTGGTCACTGACCCGGAAAAGGTTACCGTGTGACCCCTGCAACCGGGGAGCTGGGACTTCGTGGCTCGCACTCAGGGCAGGACTGGGGTTGAGAGACCCCCAGGCCCCCGAGGTGACCCTGTCAGCCCTGCCGGGGGCCCCCAGGAGCATGCCACCATGTAGACATCGGCCCCTGCATGGCCTGCTGTCAGCCGAGGACCCTGGTGGCTCAGAGACCATGAGGAGCTGCAGCTTCCTCTGGGTTACCCGGCCTCGGGTCACCTAGCCAACTAAGGAGCGAGGTGAGGGTCAAACCCACCATGCTGGGAGCTCCTGGTCCTGCCTTGGCCAGGGCAGGTGATGGACAAGGGCCAGCCTGGGTGTCCACTCCCAGGGCCTCAGTTTCCCCTCAAATCTGAACTTGGTGACAGAGAGGAGCCCAGAGATCCGCAGGGGCACTGGTCAGCATGGCTAAGGTCTCTGGGCATGGAGCCTCCTCCCAGGACCCCCACAAGCCATGCAGCCCAGGTACCCTGCCCTCCACACATGGCTGACCACCCCCTAGCTGGGCAGAAGCCCCAGGGACCAGGGGTGAGTGCCCCCGGCCAGTGCCCAAGGCTGCCCAATGGCTGAGGCCTTGGCCAGGTTCCTGGGAGGGGATCGACGTCCGGGCTGAGCGTGGGGTCGTGCTGACCACCTCCCTACTGAGTGAGCGAGACATGACCAGGGCGGCCCAGGGCGGCCGCATGCAGGGGCTTTGCCACCCAGGATGGGCGGCCGGCACCACCCTCTGGGCACCAGGCTGCCGCCCCTCTCCCTTTGATTCTCAGAAGCTGTGGAGGGGCGGGGGAGGGGGGGGAGAGTGGGGGCAGGGGTCCTGTGAATCTGGGGCCCACAGCTGCAAATCCTTCCTCCTCCAGGTGTCTTTCCTGCCGCGGCCCCTCCCCGAAAGCAAACACACGTGGCTGCCCCAGGGGAAAGGACGGAGCCCTGCGTGGCCCAGGAGCCGGGCGCGGGGCCAAGGCTTCTTGCTATATAAGCCCCAGGGCCCCCAGGGAGCGAGCACTGGGGCCCACTCCCTCCCAGCCACCTGCCTGCCACCGTGCCACCCTCCAGGATGGGTGCCCCAAGCGGGTGCCTGGTGCTGGCCTGGGTCCTCGCGGCCCTGCTCCTGGTGCAGAAGACAGGTGAGGACGAAGACCCCGGCTCCGTCTCTGCAGCAGGGGGCCCAGCAGGTCGCTCGCTGGGGGTTCTCCTGCTGGGAACGGCAGGCAGGACCCTGCCCGTGCATCCCCAGTGCGGCCCCCAGGCTCTCAGCCCGCACCCAGAGAAGCTGGGTCCCCTGGGAGAACCGCCGAGAGAGTGTTGGGGTGGGGGCTGAGGCTGGGCGTCTCTCTGGTCCTGGAGCCCCCACGGCGGCTCCAAAATTCCTCCTCAGATTAGGGTTGGAACAGCTGACCGGTGATCGAGCAGCAGGGGAGCTCCATCTGAGCCCACCGCCCGGGCCTCCGGCCTCCCCGGCCGCCCCGTGCACTTAGCATCTAGGGGAAGCACCACTGGCCCTAACACCTACTGTCAACATGAAAGACGGCCTCAGGGGCTGCCTGGGTGACAGCCAGCAGGACTGGTCTGGAGCCCTGGCCACTGCAGGCCGCCCCACCCGGTCCCGGCCCTGAGCGCTGCTCCCGTGAGGCCTCCCCGTGGTGCCTCACCCAGGCTCGGGGGCCTGGGCAGGTGGACACTGGCCCACAGCTCTCCATCAGTCGTCTCCCAGAGCCCCTGCCCCAAGCCGCCTTTCCTGGGGGCTGAGCAGGGCTCGGAGGTGGGGGGACTTCCCAGAGTGACTCCCAGCGGGGGTGGGGGGCCCCCCGCCTGCTGTGTGATTCAGGTGCCCATCTGCCGGTTTGCGCAGCCGGCCCCCACTCCTCCCAACTCTTCCAGGCTCATCTGGGCCATGCCGGCCCCAGACCACGCGCCTGATGAGTGGGTCTCGCCAGTGAGCCTCCTCATCCTCCACCTGCGTCTCTCTGGGGGGCAAATCCCGCTGGGGCGGGCGAAGTCGGTCTGAGAGGAGGACCCCACGTCGGGGGGGCTGCTATCAGCCGCGGTGTGAAGGGACAGTCGGGAGCGGGCATTTCTCGGGCCCGGTGATGGAGACCAGGTCTCGCTGGGCGAGTGACCCCGCCTGAGGAGGGCCCCGAGTTGAGCCAATTCTTGTGGAAACCGGGCCTGGATGGGGAGGCGGTGTGGGGTGCAAACTGCCACTGGGACACCCTCTGGCTTCTGACTGTGGGGTGCGGCCAGCATCTGGCCCTAGCCAGGCTCACGCGGGAGGGGCTGCAGCTCTGGGGTCAGGGGTGGACGGCGGGAGCAGCTGCGCCTGTGGGAAAGGCAGTCACCTGGGGCCCTCGGAAGGAAAGTTTAATGCCGGGCCAGTCCCTGTGGTTTCCATATGCGAGGTCCCCGCTGGGATAGTGGAACGGAATAGAGGCCTCACCGTGCCCCTCGCCAAGCTGGTTGCACCAGGGACGTGGGGACATCGGGGTCCCACCTCCCACTCCCCAGGAAGCTCAGATTTGGGCTGAGCGTGGAGACTCCTGGCAGACCGCAGGAAGGAGGTCAGGGCCATGTGAAGGGGGTGCCGCAGCCTGAGCTCGGCAGAGGGGCCTGGGAGGGCTCCCTACGCCCACCACGGCAGCGAGGGGATGTGGGAGCCCGGCCACCGGGGAGTCAGGCTGGCGGAGGAGGCCCTGCCTGGAGGCGGTGGGCGCACAGGGCCCCAGGCGCAGCCACCCCAGCACCAGGGCCCCCAGGCCTCCCGCCGCCATGACGGACAGTTCTAACTCCAATCTGGCTCTGGTCTTGGGTTTCTGCTAAGTCATGCCCAGAAGCCTCCCCAGCTGCGTGAGTCTTTCTCCCCAACAAAGCCGGTCTTTGTCCTTCTCCAAAGGACGCCGGGATGGGGCCGAACCCTCTTCTGGGGTGGCCAGGGTCAATGGGGCCAACGCCTTTTCCTGATTCCATTCTCCTGCCTGGAGCCAGCAGCACCAACTGCCCCATCCCGGAGAGATGAGGCACCACCCTGGATTTGTAGATGGGGTGGGTGGGGGTCAGCGCAAGGCCACCGGGTAGCTGCGGCTCCCTGCAGAGGCCTCCTATCCCGGCGGAGCCTTGCTTTCCACCTGGTCGAGTGTTCATGGGGCCGCCCCCCTGAAGCCTGCAGAGGAAGGATGGCGAATGTCCGGCTTCTCACGACTCCCGTCCCCTTTCCCTGCAGAGACCCAGGGCAGCGTGGAGCCCAGCCAGGCCAGCACAGAGGCTGCCACGCACAGTCGGAGGGCAGACGTCGGTATGTGGCCCAGGCTCTGCAGGCAGGAGGGGCTGGGCTCCCAGTGGGCCGGGGATCTGGACATCAGATTTCCACATCAGCTGCATGTCCCACAGAGACCCTCCTGGATCCCACCCGCCCACAAGAAGGGACGGCAGGGGGCATGGGTCCCGGAAAGCTAAGGCACAGAGCAGAAAGGCTGAAATGCTCACACGAACTCACACACCGCGCACATTCACGCGCACGCACACACACAGGGCAGCAGTGTGTGTTGGGCAGATGGGGAGGGCCGCGGAGGGGCAGCCCTAGTCCTGGGGCTCGCTGGGCTGGGTCAGGGCGGCCTGCACCTCTCTGTTGCCCCAGGGCCCAACCAGGGAGGAGGATGAGGGGTCCCCGCCTGGCCGCATTTCTAGTGTGACCCACCCTCCTCTGCAGCTTGGAGCACCGTCATCCCGCCCATCACCGTCTTGCCCACCATGAGCTGTGAGTGGATGCTGCCCACTGCTGACGGGGTGGGGGTGGGGGCTCACAGATCTGGGGGGTAAAGCTGGTACGCTGTGGGCGACTGAATGGCCTTGGTCCCGGCCGGGAGCCTTCCCTGGGCCAGCTCTCCTGGGGGCTGACCCTGGACGCTGGTGTAGGATCAGGGCTCTCAGGGAGCATCAGGGCGGCTCAGGGCAGCGAGGCGGGCGAGCGGCTGCCCTCCTGGCTCCGCAGCCCAGACCCGGGGACAGCTGCTGGTGGGTGGCTGGGCGAGGCTGGTGGCATCTGCCGGGACCCCAGCACGCGCTCCCCACAGCCCGGAACCCCGCGCACAACGGGCGCGTGTGCAGCGCCTGGGGCGACTTCCACTACAAGACCTTCGACGGCGACGTCTTCCGCTTCCCGGGCTTGTGCAACTACGTCTTCTCAGCGCACTGCGGAGCCGCCTACGAGGACTTCAACATCCAGCTGCGCCGCGGCCGGGCCGGCTCCAGGCCCACCATCACCCACATCGTCCTCAAGACGCAGGGGCTGGTGCTGGAGGCCTACAACGGCTCCATCCTCATCAACGGGCAGCGGTGCGCCTGGCGCAGGCTGGGGAGGTGCCGGGACTCTGGGGCTCGCGGCTCAGGGCTCGGTGGGGGAGGGCCCTGCTGGACACCCTGGCCGCAGGGCGACCGGAACTTTCCACCCCAGGGGGGAGCTGCCCTACAGCCGTGCAGGCCTGCTGGTGGAGCAGAGCAGCGTCTACATCAAGGTCACCGTCCGGCTGATGCTGACCTTCATGTGGAACAGAGAGGGCAGTGCCCTGGTGAGGGCGCCCCCCCACGCCCCTCCCAGCCCCGGGGGCGAGGGCAGCAGGGGTGGCGGGGCTGAGGGCTTGGCTGGCTGAGGCTGGAGCTGCCCCCCCTCTACCCCCAGCTGGAGCTGGACCCCAAGTACGCCAACCAGACATGTGGTCTGTGCGGGGACTTCAACGGGCTCCCGGCGGTCCAAGAGTTCTACTCCCATAGTGAGTGCCGCCTGGGGTCAGGGCGGGGTCAGGGAACGGCCGGAAGCCGAGCTGTGGGTCCTGCCCGGGGGCGCTGGATGCTCCCGAGGAGGCAGGGAGGGGGCAGCCTGGGCACTGGACAACACTCAAGCCAGTGACGCCCCAGGAGAAGTTTGGGGTGCCCCGGGCATGGGCAGGGCCCCCCTGGCAGCCACGGCCCACACTGCCCCCAGGGGCCCTCAGCATGCTCCACACCAGCATCTCCTGTCCACAGACGCCAGGCTGACCCCTCTGCAGTTCGGGAATCTACAGAAGCTGGACGGGCCCACAGAGCAGTGCCAGGACCCCCCGCCTTCCCCGGCCAGCAACTGCACAGACTGGGTGAGCTCCCCCTCCCCGGGCAGGGGGACAGCCAGGAGGGCGGGTTCAGGCTTCCTGGGCTGGGTCCTGGGGTGTCCAGGGAGAGAGGGTCTCCTAGCCCTCGGGTGGCGGAGGACGTGGCCACCACTCTGGAGACACACCCTCTCACCTACTCACCTCCCCCCACCGCACACCTGTTCTGAGAGTGTGGGCAATGCACATGTGTGTGCAAATACGTGTCCGCACATATGCAGTCCTGCCCGTGGTGGGGCACTTGGGAGCCCAGGTGAAGGAGCCCTACAAGGAAGTTGGGAGGACCCCACCTTTAGAATCTATCCATGAGCCTTAAATCAGGATGTGGAACTGCAGTATCCCCCCCAGCTGGTTGGGGGCAGGGGGAGGGGTGCCAGGGAAGGAGGAAGGGTTCATCGGCAGGCTGGCTTTGGCTCTGCTGGGGCTGCCTGAGGGCCTCCCCCTTCTCTGACTGGCCTCTGGGGCTGGGGGGCACCTTTCCTGGGGGCTCACACCATGCGCAGGTGTGTCCTGGAGCCCTGGGGGGCGGGTGGAGTCCACAGTCATGGCTCAGTCCCCAGAGCCAAGCAGAACTCTGCACCCAGTGGTGGCAAGTCCACGGTGGTTGAGGGGAGGAAGGGAGGGTGGCCAGCTGGCCGGCTGGCTGGGCGGACGGATGCATGGGAGGGTGGAGGGATGATAGGCGATGGGTAATGTGTGGGTAGATGGACAGACGGACAGACGGATGGAGGGATGAAAGGAACCTCAAGGGGAGGAAGGGGGCCCCCTGGCCTGGAAAAGCCTGCAGGGCCCGGGGTGCCCCACACGCGCTGAGGGCGGACGGTGCCAAGCCTCTGTGCTCCCCAGGAGGGCATCTGCCACCGCACCCTGCTCGGCCGGGCCTTTGCAGAGTGCACCGTGCTGGTGGACCCTGCCGCGTACGTGGCCGCCTGCACCCAGGACCTGTGTTGGTGCCCCACCTGCCCTTGCGCCACCTTCGCAGAGTACTCCCGCCAGTGCGCCCACGCGGGAGGACAGCCCCAGAACTGGAGGGGCCCGGACCTCTGCCGTGAGTGGCCCCCGACCAGGGCCAGCCCCAGCCCCACACCCACTCCGGGTCCCTGGGGACGGGGGAGGGACCCCTGGGCAGGACGCCCGGGACAGTCGGTCGGGAGGGTGGCCAGGAGAACAGAAAGGGGACCTGGGAGGCTCAGAGGGAGGACCTGGCCTGGGTGCAGGGAGCTGAGCTCACCCCAGAAGCCAGGCGGGCCCAGGGGGGCTGTCCGGGAGGCGCTGCACCCCAGGGTCCCCTGCCTGCCGCCTCACCCAGAAGTCAGCTGGGGGCCGGGACAGGCGGGGCCCAGCCTCCCAAGGCGAGGGGCTCCCTGAGCCCGGCTGTGGCTTTGGGGGACCCCTGATGGCACACGGAAGGCTAGGGGCGGAGGTGGCCTGCCTGGGCGCCCCTCGCCTGGGCGGCTTCCTGGGGCCCAAGTGCGTCCTCCCCCCTGCAGCCCAGACCTGCCCCCTCAACATGCAGCACCGCGAGTGCGGCTCGCCCTGCGCGGACACCTGCTCCAACCCCCAGCGCTCCCAGCTCTGCGAGGACCACTGCGTGGACGGCTGCTTCTGCCCCCCAGGCAGGTCCTCCTGGCCCTCGGGGACCTGCCCCCACCCTCCCGGCTGCTCCCGGTCACTGAGGTTCCAACAGCCGCCCCGGCCCACTTATGACGCCCCTGCTGTCTCCAGGCACGGTGCTGGATGACATCACCCACAGGGGCTGCCTGCCCCTGGAACAGTGTCCCTGCACCCACGGCGGCCACACCTACGCCCCGGGGGCCTCCTTCACCACCGTCTGCAGCGCCTGGTAGGCCTCCCGGCTGCCCTGCCCCGGGGGCGGGTGCGTGGGCTGGGGTCTGCCTCCTGCACATCACGCCCGCTCTGCTCACGGCCTCCCTTCCCAGCACCTGCTCCGCAGGGCTGTGGCGGTGCCAGAACCTTCCCTGCCCTGGCACCTGCTCTGTCCAGGGCGGGTCCCACATCTCCACCTATGACGAGAGGCTCTATGACGTGCACGGAGACTGCAGCTACGTCCTGTCCAAGGTACGGCCCCGTGGGCTTTGCGGGCCTGCCCGGGCACTCTCGGGCCCCCGCTGCCCCTGCGCAGGGCCCCGTGGTGGCCATCAGAGGGGGCGAGGGCCCCTGGATCTCCTCCTGGGGTCGCATCCCCAAAGGGAAGCCCCCAGGCTCACACTCACGGGGCCAGGGGCTCCCAGGCCCTGAGACAAGCTGCCTGGAGGTGGCCACCGGCGCCCCAGGCCAGGGTGAGCCGCCGTCCGTCTGCACCCACCCGGCAATGCTGGGAACAGGCCACCCTGCCTGTGCTGGGGAGTGGCTGTCCCCCAACGCGCTGGTGGCTTCGCCCTGTCAGACGTGTGCAGAGAACAGCTTCAGCGTGCTGGCCGAGCTGCGCAGGTGTGGCCTGACGGACAACGAGAACTGCCTCAAATCGGTGGCACTCAGCGTGAATGGCGGAGACACGGTGAGGCTCCAGCGGGGGAGGGGTGGACACAGGGAAGCTGGCAAGACACGCAGGCCCCAGGGACGTGGACCCCAGTCCTCCTTAAACCCCACGGCCCCGGCCCAGCCCCCAGCCCCGGTCCTAAGCGTCCCACGGAGCTGGAGGCTCAAGGCCAGAGCTCCGCGCCCGGCTCTGGCCCCTGGGGAGCGCTCCCTGGCCCCTGAGGCAGGCGGGCTCCTCCCCCACCGACCTGGCTGCCTCCCCTCCCCAGATCATCCAGATCCAGGCCAACGGCGGGGTGTTCCTGAACTCCATCTACACCCAGCTGCCCATGTCAGCAGGTATGGGCCCAGGACGGCTGGGCCAGGCTGCGGCGAGGCGGCCTGCCCCCCAGAGCCTGCACACAGCCAGCTAGGTCCCTTGCTAGTTCCTCATGGCCTGGGGCAGTTCTGGAATATCCCGTGGTTGGTTTCCTGTCTGCAAGTGGGTATGGTCCGATCTGTGGGGACCTGGTGTGGAGCACGCTCGGTGCCCGGCCTCCTGGGGACCAGGACCGGTCACTCCCAGCACTGCCCACTCCCAGGGCCCACCAGACACCTGTCTCCTCCCAGCCCATCCCCAGAGGACCCGCCCCGCCCCCCGGGCTGTCCCAGGAGCAAGGGGGTTCCGTCGGGCCAGACTCTGACTTGGTCCCCATCCCTGCAGCCAACATCACGATCTTCAGGCCCACCTCCTTCTTCGTCCTGGTGCACACGGGCCTCGGGCTGCAGCTGCAGGTGCAGCTGGTGCCGCTCATGCAGCTGTTCCTCAGGCTGGAGCCCTCCTACCGCGGACAGATGTGCGGTGAGGCCGGCTGGGTGGGCTCGGGGGCCGCTGGTCCCTGGACTCAGCAGCAAGCGGGATGCGCTAGAGTCTGGCAGGGAGTGGGGATTGGGAGGGAGCTGCTCCCAGGGAAACCCGCATCCGACCTGCGGCCCCCGGGAGGTGACCTGGGGTGGGGGGTGGACAGTGAGCCACGCTGTCCTTACTAGGGCAGGCTTTGCACAGGGGCTGATCTCCACCAGGGCTTATCTGCAGATGGCTCTGGAACCAAAATCCTGGGATGGAGCTCTCTGGCTGGTCTCCTTGTGATGGTTTCTAGAGGGACTGCGGGGCCAGCAGGATGGCCAGGCTGGACTCCCCACTAATGCTCCATCCCTGGGCCCCGGCCCCCAGGCCTGTGCGGGAACTTCAACCAGAACCAGGCCGATGACTTCCGGACCCTCAGCGGCGTGGTGGAGGGCACGGCTGCCGCCTTCGCCAACACCTGGAAGACCCAGGCCGCCTGCCCCAACGTCAAGAACAGCTTCGAGGACCCCTGCTCCCTCAGCGTGGAGAACGGTACTCCCACCCCTAGGAGCCCTCCGTTTACCTGGGCCGGGCCTAGGAGCTGAAGCTTCCCGTCTCACCAGGCCCTGGGGTGGGTGGGGCTGGGGGACCCCGATATCCAGGATGCATGCGTGCATGCTGGCGGCAGGGCCTGGGGCCCGTCTCTGGGGCGAGCGCCCTGCTGTCCCATTAGCATCATGGGTCAGCCCCACATTCCAGCTCAGCTCTCCTGGGGCGGTGGGGGCCTGGGGGCCTGGGTGCAGGAGCCGAGGCTGCCGGGGTGGGCGGCCGTGGGGGAGGAGGGGTGTAGGTGGTGGCCAGCCAGCCAGCTCACCTTCCCTGTCCCAGAGAACTACGCCCAGCACTGGTGCTCCCTGCTGACTGACCCGGCCGGAGTCTTCTCCCGCTGCCACTCTGTCCTCAACCCCGCGCCCTTCTACTTGGTGAGACCCCCAGCTCCCCGGTGCTTCCCTGGCTCAAGGACCCCACAGCACGTGCACGGGTCGGTCAGTCCTCCCCTGGGCCACCGTGGGTGTGGCTGTTGGTGTCACCGAGGAGCACAAACCAGGTCGCTAAAAACTAGAGAAATTGCTTCTGGGCCCAGTCCTGGAGGACAAAAGTCCACAAGCAAGGGGTGGGCAGGCCACGCTCCCTCCTACGGCTACAGGCCCTCCTCCTGCATCTCCCAGCCTCTCGAGGCCCCAGGTACCCCTGGGCTTGTGGCTACATCACCCCAACCTCTGCCTCCGTGCCCCTCCCCTGTGTCTGTGTCCAAACTCAGGGCCCATCCCGATGACCTTACCTTAATCACATCTGCAAAGACCCTATTTCCAATAAGGTCATTTTCTTAGGCCTTGGAGGTTAGGGCTTCTGCATATCTTTTGGGGACACCCAACCCAACCCACAACAGTTGGCTGGTAGGCCACTTTTGCAGAAGCTCGAAGGCCTACAGTGCACACGAATGCACCCCCAGGAGTGTGTGTCTGCAGGTGGAAGCCCTGGCCCACCTCTGCCCAAGCTGGGGGTGGCATAGCTCCACCCTCTTCACCCCACGTGCCCCCCATAAGCAGCACAAGCAGTGATGTATGCGGAATGCAGTCGGACCCGGCCCTGGTCCCGTGGAGGCCCCTGCTGACCCTGACCTTGGCCCGGCCTCGTGCCTCCTTGCTGCCCCCTCCCCGACCTGGCCTGTGCGGTCCCTTAGTGCACCAGCTGCCCTCCTGGGCGCCTCACAGATCTGTGGGTGCCGAGGGCCCGGGTGGGAGTCCCAGGAAGGACGCACGGGGAGAGAGGGGCCTCGGTGGGCTGGGGTCCCTAACGGCCCCCGCGGCCCCGTCCCCAGAACTGCATGTTCGACACGTGTAACTGTGAGAAGAGCGAGGACTGCCTGTGCGCGGCCCTGTCCTCCTACGTGCACGCCTGCGCCGCCAAGGGGGTGCTGCTCAGCGGCTGGAGGGACGGCGTGTGCAGTGAGTGTCCCCGGCCAGCCTGGCAGCACCGGGGGAGGGCCGGGGGGCTGGGGACCCCCACTCCCACGCTCTCAGCCAGAGCTTCACGCTTCCTCGTCTGGGCCAGCCAAGCCTGGTGTCAGAGGGGAAACTGAGTCTCGGGCTGTGTGCGCCCCAGCCCGGAGGGGCCCTCCAGCCCCTGACTGGAGCGCTGCCCCTGCCCCCAGGCAAGTATGTGAGTAGCTGCCCCAAGTCCCAGCACTACAGCTACGTGGCTCATGGCTGCCAGCCCTCCTGCCGCGCTCTGAGCCAGGTGGACGTCACCTGCGGCATCGCCTTTGTGCCCGTGGACGGATGCGTCTGCCCCTCGGGCACCTTCCTGGACGACTCGGGCGCCTGCGTGTCCGCCGACGCATGCCCCTGCTACTTCCGTGGCTCTGTGGTGGCCCCGGGAGACGTGGTGCATGACAACGGTGTGATCTGGTAAGCAGCCAGCTGGGCCCACAACGGTCTCGCCCCCCGTGTCACACCCGAAGACCCCTGGGCCTCCCCAGAGGACTGTGAAACACAGAGGGGCTCCCTGGGGAGGGCCCCCCCCGGGCCCCCCCCTCAGCCGTGCAGTAAAGAGGGACCCCTCCCCCGGCCAGGGAGAGGGTTCCGAGGGTCCGGCACCCAGGAGGGCGTGTGTGTTGGGCTCTGGGCAGAGCTCTGGGTGGGGCCTGCGGGGCGGTGGGTGGGCAGTGGGCCCAGGCAGGGCGGTCTTTCTCACAGCTCGTGTGCGGGTGGGAAGCTGAGTTGCCTGGGAGCGGCGGAGCAGAAGAGCTCAGGTAGGGCCCCCCGCCGCGCCCGGGGGCAGGGGCTTCTGCGGGCCTGGGCTGGGGCCCCTCCCAGCCCAGCTGCCTCCCTCTGCAGGGTGTGCGGCCCCCATGGTGTACCTGGACTGCAACAGCGCCTCGGCGGGCACGCCCGGGGCTGAGTGTCTCAGGAGCTGCCACACGCTGGACGTGGACTGCGTGAGTGGCCGGGGAGGGCGTGCCGCCCCCCAGTGTCCCCGGGCACAGGGGGGATGAGCACTGACGCCGTGCCCGTCCACAGTTCAGCACCCATTGCGTGTCTGGCTGTGTCTGCCCCCCGGGGCTGGTGTCGGACGGGAGTGGGGGCTGCGTGGCCGAGGAGGACTGCCCCTGTCTGCACAACGAGGCCACCTACAAACCCGGGGACACCATCAGGGTGGACTGTAACACCTGGTGAGTCAGGGCTTCCTCCACGGGAGGGAGGGAGGTGGGGGGGAGCTGGGGCCTGGCGTGGCCCCCAGCCCCGGGGAAGCCCTGGACGGTCCCCTCTGTCCTAGGAAGGTCCCCCAGGGCCAGGCCTTCAGAGCTGCCGCCAGGGTCCCCAGCCCCGCCTCACTGCAGGCGCCAAGGGCCTGGAAGCCAGAGACGGGCGGGCGGCGGGCCCGTGCCCGCGCTCACCCCTTCACTCAGCCCTCTGGAGAGTGCGGCGGGGCGGGGCTGGTCCTGGGCAGCGGGCAAGCAGGCTGTCCCCTGTCCTCACAGCACGTGCAGGAACCGCAGGTGGGAGTGCGGCCGCAAGCCCTGCCTGGGCACCTGCGTGGCCTACGGGGACGGCCACTTCATCACCTTCGACGGGGAGCGCTACAGCTTCGAGGGGAGCTGCGAGTACACGCTGGCCCAGGTACGCGGGGGCCCCCTCCGCGCCCCCCTCCTCCGCCCGCCCACTCCCGCAGCCCTGAGCTCAGCCTGACCCTCCCTGGCCCAGGACCACTGTGGGGGCAACAGCACTGCCAACGGCACCTTCCGCGTGGTCACCGAGAACGTCCCCTGCGGGACCACGGGCGTCACCTGCTCCAAGGCCATCAAGCTGTTCCTGGAGGTGAGGGGCCACCGGGAGCCCTGTCCCTCCCTCTGCCCTCCGGCTGGATGTCCTAGGGCTGCCTGGACAAATGGCCACAGCTGGGGGGACCTGAAGCTAGAGAAATGCATTCTCTCTCGGTTCTGAGCAGCAGGTGTCCCAGGGCCGAGCCCCCCGCCAGCCTCCAGGGGGGCTCCCTCCTGCCTCCCCCAGCCCCGGGGCTCCACCGGCCCCTCCCCCCGCGGGCCCGCCCCCTCTCTCCTGTCACAGGGACACCTGTGTTTGGACTGAGGCCCACCCTAATCCGGGAGGAGCTCATCCCTCACTGACCCCTGCAGAGACCCTTTTTCCAAACAAGGTCGCATTCACAGGTTCCAGGGGCCGGAATGTGGACACACCTTTTGGGGGGCCTGCATTCAGCCCACTACATCAGGGTACCCAATTCCAGCAGAGGGACGCCAGAGTTCACCAGACAGGGAGCCGCACGGTTGGCCGGGGGCATCAGCCCCACTGGCCTGTGGCCCCAACCTTCCACGTGACCTCCCCGGGCTCCCAGCACACCCTGCTTGGCCTCTGGCTTCCTGTTCGCTGACAGTGTCAGGAGCCAGCTCATCCTTGACCCCAGTCCTGTGCCTTGGGCCCCTGACTACCGTAGGTCGGTGGGCTCCGGCCCCCAAGCATGCCTCTCAGTCCCTGCAACCACCACCTCCGTGTGCCCTCTGCAGAACTATGAGCTGGTCTTGCATGAAGGCACCTACAAGGTGGTGCAGAGGGGGCCGGGCGGAGACCTGCCCTACAAGGTCCGGTACATGGGCATCTACCTGACCGTGGAGACTCACAGTGGCCTGGTGCTGTCCTGGGACCGGAAGACAAGCCTGTTCATCCGACTGCAGCAGGACTACAAGGTGAGAATGGGCGGGCTGTGGACCCCTTCAGGCAGGGTCAGAGCCCCTACTCCTAGATCTGGCTCCCAGGGGGCCGTCTGGCAGCTGACACTCCACTGAGGGCCAGGGCGAGTCCACTCACAACGCCGATTTCTGAAAGGCCTGTGTTGAGACCAAACAGACCAATAGGCAGAGTCCTGCTTAGAATGCTGTTCTTGCTCCCTGGTGTCCCCATGCCCACTGGGACTGCTTGCCCACCTGTCCACCCCCCATCTGCCCACCTGCCTGCCTGCCCGCTGCTCACCTGTCCACCTGCCTGCCTGCCCCCTGCTCACCTGTCCACCTGCCTGCCTGCCTCCTGCACCTGTCCACCTGTCTGCCTGTCCACTGTACCTGTCCACCTGCCTGCCTGCCCCCTGCTCACCTGCCCACCTGCCTGCCTGTCCCCTGCTCACCTGTCTACCCACCTGCCTGCCTGCCCCCTGCTCACCTGTCCACTTGCCCCCTGCTGACCATAGGGCCCACTGTGTGCCCCGCCATCCTGCAAGTTCACAGGGCACTGCCCTGGAGTGCCCCCTGCCGGGCTGGGCTGGGCTCTGGCCCCTCCTGCACACGCCCTGAGCCCCCCGTGCCGCCGTCCCCCGTCTGCAGGGCCGGGTCTGTGGGCTGTGTGGGAACTTTGACGACAACGCCGTC